CATGTAGAGCCTAAGTCCTTATTTAGTCCCTTAATGTGAGTTTTAAACCCGATTATTCATTTCATTTCTGCGTTACGTCGTTCTTGTGTTCCTATTATTATAGCCCTTCATTGAGTCATCTATGGTGTGATTATAGGCGAATTAAAATGTGTACTTTGAGCAGTTGAGTTTGGGTCTTATAGATGATTTGTGTTTATTCACTCTAGATTTAAAAGTGAAACCAGTTTCGCCAACATACGGTTTCCCTTGTTGCATTTTGTTGCAGTATATATGAGGTATATAATATTGGGCGATTTATACAATTGAGCACTGGCGGCCGGATTATTATCTGTGCCCTGGTGGCGTTAATGAGCTGGCTTATTAATGATGTCGCATAATTGTCATCTAGAGATGTTAGAGTGACTGTGTGTTGCCAGGAATCGGTTTAGTGGAGGGGAGTTTAGATGAGGTTAAAGTGGACTTTAAATTAGGGGGTTGCCTACGTGCGAGTAGAGGGGGGGGGGGCTGTAAAAATAATTCTTTAATCGATGGGTCTCCTTGGAGGGAGAGGAAACGTTTTTTTAAATTTTCTTAGACAGTTGTAGAATGTTGGGGCTATAGAGTCGAATACCGTAGGTAGCCGATCATTATTATATTTAGGTCTGAATGTGAGAAGATCAGTGCGAGATTTATGTGAGGCTTTTTCAATCTTGGTGTTGCCAATTGTGTGTTGCCATGTGTCGGTTTAGTGGAGGGGAGTTTAGATGAGGTTAAAGTGGACTTTAAATTAGGGGGTTGCCTACGTGCGAGTGAGGGAGGCTGTAAAATTAATTCTTTAATCGATGGGTCTTCTTGGAGGGAGAGGAAGCGTCTTTTTAAATTTTCTTAGATTATTATATTTAGGTCTGAATGTGAGAAGATCAGTGCGAGATTTATGTGAGGCTTTTTCAATCTTGGTTTATTACACTTAATGGGTAGTTACTTGACATGAACTTGCCAGTGAGAAGAGACGTGTTATAGTAGGAGACATGAGCAGATTCGATCGTTTGAGTCGAAGGCATTGACTGTATGAGCGATCGTTTAATGTTCATAGGGTGTGAGCTTCTGTAGTCGAGGTATCGATTGTTGTCTGTAGGTTTTTATGTGTACTGATGCGGTGACGTTACCATTCTAAACTAATAGATGCGTCTAAGAATGGTAAATTGACTTAGAATTATCCATGGTGAACTTAATGCTAGAATGATACGAATTGCAGTGATTAAATTCTCTAAGACTGTCTAAACCGGCTCCCAAATAAAAAAACATATCATCAATATATCTACAATAATATGATGGTTTCAATTCAAAACTCGATCCGGTAACATCATGTTTTGGAGGTTAGCCATAAAAATGATGGCATAGCTAAGTGCCATCTTTGTTCCCATAGCATGGGTGCCATTGTTTTGCCTATAGTGGCATCAATTAAATTCAAAATGATTATGTGTTAATATGAATTGAATCATTGTGGATATATCACTGATGAGAGGTTGTAATGGAGCATTGGTGAGAAGAGATTCTTCGCAAGCAATCAACCTTCATTTTGAGGAATGTTCTTCAACAAGTTTTGGCAAATTGTGTACCCTCTTAAATTGTATTAAGAAAAATAATTGTTGTATTGTATTGTTGTAAGGTATGAGAGTGCAATTTCCGGGCACTAGAGGCAGCAGGCGCGGATCCAGACCGCTTCGCACCGTTCGCCAATATAAAGTGATAGCAGTGCCTGGTGGTCTGGTGAATTCCAACTCTTTCTGTCAGAAATGCCACCTACCTAAACCAAAGACAAAAATATATAGACAAAATAACCTTTATGCATTGTCTAATAGGCCTATTAATCAAAGAGGGAATGTAATTAAATCGGCTGCGCGATAACGTACGGTACACTGTTGAGTTCTTTTATTATTATTAATATGATTTATGTCACAATATATGGTTAATACAAAATCAATCACAGGAATGATAGACTATACATGTGCGTTGATTCTTATAGGGCCTAACCTTATTGAAATGCATATATAATTTTATTATAATTTGTTATTCCAAAATTACACCAAAGCGAAAACATTATTTTAGTTATTATTTTTTGATTGATGAATTATTATTTCATTATTTTAACGAATGCTATTCGTTAAAAAAAAAAATCCAAAACAATTTTTTTTAACGGAGTTAGTAGCCTAATTGCAGACCTTGAGCTTAAAACTTACGAACACACCTAGATACAGTACGGTACATCTAAAAAGGCATTTGAAGTGGAAAAAACAAATTTGAAAAAAAAAAGACATTGAAAGATATCTAATAAGCGTATAATACCGGTACTGTATTGATTGGTCGGTAAAATGTAATGTTTTCAGGCCCTTATATCCAGTAGGTGGGGTGATACGAAGAGTGTGTATAACCAGTTCACTGTGCCTGGTATACCGGTAACGCACGCAACCAAATTTGATGAGGTCCACATTTCCAAGATAGTTGAGAATGTACTGAATATAAATTTGCGATTTTCTGTGATTACAAATAAAATCTTACATTTGTACATTTTAACCAGTAGGCCTAATCTACTCAGTATGTTGTAATTCGGAAAAACGCAATTTATTCGATTTTGAAATTTTGGCTTCGGGGCACCATGATGTAATCTATCATGGAACGTGATCATACTCCAAAAAAATTTTTCGAAATATGAAATTATTTTGAGAGTAACCATTATATCCTACCGTCCAACCACTAGCATTGAAATGTTGGCAATCAACCAATCACAGAAGACATTATGCATATTTAATTACTTTCCCAGGGCAGTACTGTACAATAAAAATGTATTATTATTTTTCCTAAAGTTGCAACTTAAAAGTTGTGGTCATAAGATTAATTTTAGAACGGCATTATTAACAAGATTTTTAGGTTTTTGAATTGCATTTAACATGTGTACAGTATAATGATTTTGATAAACAATTATAAATTTCTGTACTATCTATTAAACATTTAAAAAGTAAACTTCCTTACGTTGTGGTCTGTATTAGACTGCAATATTTTTAAAGAAGACCATTCAACAAACAACATGAAACAAAATTTCAAGACATAGATACGCCACTGACTTATATAGCCAGATGAGTGAAAATACTCAATCGATGTGCCACCAAATCGTAACCAGCCTTCACCATGCCCTCTCGATGTCACCGGGGACGGAACTGCCAAAAACTGCAGCTAAGGGACGCTACCAATAAACAATCAACAAGCTACCGGGTTTCTGGGTGGATTTGCAAGGTACTACATGGCTCAACTATTTTTACTTAGGGGTTAATTGGTAAAAATCGTGGCACAAATCATACGACGTCACTGACAACGCCGGGGACGGCAATTCGATTTTGAGATTAATTTTCCGAATAAAGTTATACTAAATAACTTCTAATGACGAACTATTTGTTTTCGTTGTCTTTGTTGGTCATTACACTGTAACTATACCCTTTTTATTGGTGATATTACCGTTCTCAATAATCTATGAAACACCCACATAACAACGTCACGTTAGATCGATTGGTGGGGACGCCGTGGTGACGCCGGTAGGGTCAATTTTCGTCGGAAGGTATCAAGATGATAAACAGTTTCATTGGACTAAATTATTGCTAATGTTAACCACATGCTTACCTAAGATTTTACTGACACTGGTTTCAAATGAAATAACTGACAACTTTGGTTTGTATCATATCTTTGTTGACTTCGTCGCCGAATGATGGCAACAAACGAAAAACAAAATACACCATACACTACATTGTACATACAATACCTTGTTATGGCATGTGTTAATATACTGGACGAGTTCTCATCCTCGGCGTCACTAATTTGGATCAAGACGGCACGTACGAAATTATCTTCAATCACTTCCTGATTTCACGACCTGCACATGACAATCGGGACGCTACGTACGGTACATCTCTCATTGTGTTGATGTTGGGAAGGTTTTACCTTCCTATAATGCACAATAATACTTTCTTCCTATTTACAATTTGTATATGAATGAAATACTAATAATATTTAGGTGCATTTTAGAATTCTGAGAATATTTATCGTAATTGTTATTTTTTAAAGAAACATCGTACCGACGTCATCTAGTTTTCTACACTAATTTAAGTGTATGGGTAGTCTTGCAGGGTCTTTCATATTCATATATTATATTCATATATATTTATAGCGCCTTTCTTTGCAGATACGAAGCGCTTCTCTCCCTGGTCATTGGATCCACATGCTAAAGTGTTGTTGCTGTATTCAGCGAAGGAGAAGCAACCCCACCAGGTACCCATTTATACTCCTGGGTGGAGAGAAGCAATGCAGATAAAGTGCCTTGCTCAAGGACACAAGCGAAATGTTCTTAGAAGACTAGTCTACACCACTATGATTGAAAAAAATGAAAAATGTTTTTGACCTCTAAAACCAAGATGGAAAAAGAAAAGCCTATCTACGGTACAGATTCCTCTTATTATAAAGTACAAGTACTCCATCTTCAGCGGTTCGAAATATTGGTGTAGTTTTCGACTCTAATATGACAATGTGTAGTCATATTAACAACATCTGCAATTCCGTTTCCTACCACTTGCGCAATATTAAATTTATTAAGAAATTCTTAACCAACAAGGCCTTAATTAAAATTGTTCATGCATTAATAACATCTCGACTAGATTACTGCAACAGTATACTATGGCATTCCACATAAGCATCTTGTAAAACTTCAAGTTCTTTTAAATATGGCAGCCCGTCTTGTAACCGGCACCTCAAGATTTGACCACATTACTCCAACTCTCCGTCAATTACACTGGCTCCCGGTCAGTAACGCATTGTGTTTAAGCTAATGCTTATTACATGAATCATTGAACAACCAGTCACCAGCATACATCCGTGAGATTATTGTGACAAATTCCACGACTTGTACAAGATCCCTTAGGTCAACAACTGATAAATCAGTGCTATAATTCGTTCCCGAAAGTCGTCTCAGAACTTATGGTGATCGAGCATTTGCAGTTGCTGCCCCTAAGCTTTGGAACAGCCTGCCTGATTATGTACGCCAGGCACCTTCTACTGGGATTTTCAAAAGCCGATTGAAAACTCATCTTTATAACTCAATAGACCACTCACATTCGTTCATTTTCGTTGCTCGATAGGCCAATATTTAGTTTACACACATCATTATGACACCGGTGAAATCAATAGCTGACCGGCCTTGGTCGGTCACAGTAAACGGTGTGATGATGTGTGATTCTATTTTTATCTGTTTTGTCGGTTATTCTGTTTGGTTAGTTTAGGTTATTTCCGGTCAAATTTATTGCCATACATTATTCACATATCAAGCGCCTTGAGACGGTTTCGACATGGAAGGCGCTTTATAAATATAAAACCAATACCAAGTATGTTTTAAAGAGGTATAGTATAGTAAATCATGTTTTTAACACAGAAAACTCTCATATGGTATAACTAAAACAATTATGCTAGTCCTGAGTAGGCCTACTAGTCGACTCTCAGGCCTAAGCCTAGTAGCCCACAGTAGTATTTTATAAGCCATTTTGCCAATTACCATACAGACAAATGTCATTTTGGAAGTGTTGCCTTTTTGGTTTTCCTTTATGACCAATTGCCATTTTGGTCCATTGCCGTTCTGGTCTAAAAGTTTTTTTGCCGGTTTGGTCACCGTTTCAATTGCCGTTTTGGTTTTTTGCCGTTTTGACCTGTTCCCATGAACACTCATCAAGCGAGTTCGATGGTACAACATCAACGACTTCGCCATCAAGTGCACGTGTAGGCCTACGTCGTTACTTATAATGGATCTTTTATATTGCTAGACAACGTCGTAAATACAAGTCGTGGTATACTTTTTTCTTCGTTTTTTTTTTGTTATTATGTTTTTTCTCGCTGTAATGACTCTTGTAAACAGCATCATTGCAGTATACATTTTTATAACAATAACTGTAATGATTAGTCTGCCCTCGGCTTATTAAACTCTCTAGGCCTAAGCCTAGTACTAGTAGTATTGTATTGCCAATTACCATACAAAGTTTTTCCGTTTTGGTTTATTGCCGTTTTGGTCATTGCCGTTTTGACTGTTCCCAGGTGAACCCTCACGCACCCCCTACCGCGGCCGCCAAATTCTGCATCTGTCCCAGCAAGGAAGTTCAGGACCCCTCTAACATCCCTCAGCTCCGCCAGCGTCTCGAGAAACCTTGCTAACGTCGTCGAAGCGTATGTGGGACAGGAAAGTCGTCACGCAGTAAAGTTCAAGGACACCGACATACGATGAGCCGTGTGTATCATGGCACATTGTTATTTTCTTTGAATACCTTTTGTTTAAAACAAATTTTAAAACCACAGGCCGCCCTCAGTTATTTTCACGTGATTACTCATCACGTGAATTTGTAAAATGCCTTGCGTACATTTATCTACATAATTCTTAAAACCATTTTTGATTGGTACTTTAGGTAAAGTAGATGTTTATGTATAATTGAAGGAAAACCATAAATATTGGGTTTTATATCTAAATAATAATTATTTATCTTGGCTGGTTATTGAGCAGAAGTGTTAAAAATTCTTAAAAAATATGTTTTTGTGACTTTAGATGTTTTTATTTTTATAAACATTGATGATTTTGTTTCCGAATTCCGTAGTGAAAAGGGGGCGTGTATAGTTTCTTTAGACCAATCACACACATCGTTTAAAAGCTTTATGGTGGATATTTCGCCTGTAAATGTACACACACAATCACATGTGATCAAAAAGTGGTGGAGACGCCACATAATAGCCAGCGATATCTCTGTAAATCCAATCTGATTCTGAGTTGACTTTCATTTGATTCGTTGTGTTTATTTTGGTGGTACTACTACTACTAGCCTACACATTGCTTACAGGAGGTGATATTGTCGTCGTCTGTGTGTGGTTCTAAGAACAGTGGACGCAGGACCAAACTTCCCAAAAATCATGAAAGTGAAAGTTTTCGTTTTCGCAATATTATTTGCAGCAGGTAAGTCTTCGTTTAATCTTGCTATTATTATTGAATTATTACTTCCTAGGCCTAACCTAGGCCTAGCGCCTATGCCCCTAGGCCTAAGTAGGTAGGCCTAGCTATTAGGTACTCTAGCCTAGGCCCGTAGGCCTTGCTAAGCTAGGCGCGATCTCGTGGGTCCCCAAGGCCCAGAGTAGGCAAGTTTTACCAGCGGCAGTATTGTGTAACTGATTGATTGATTGGCTGACTACTAGGCCTACTGTAGCCTAGAGTCTGCACCTGACAAGAAAATTCAAACTTAATGAAACAGATTGACTGACACATCAGACAATGTAGAAAAATAAATTCAATTTATTGGTATAAAAATTTTAAAAATCCATCAAGACGTTGATTTTATATGATTTTTAAAGTTATTTAATTTGATTAAAAAATTGGAATAGGCCTAGGCATTTTAATGTTAAAAACAAAATAAGTGTGACAAATTGTAATTGTAAAAAAATTATAATTGATTTTGTAGAAAAAAATAATGAATGAATCAACAGATGTTTACTATAGTCTTTAACACAACATTTATTGACATAAAAAATCTACATTTTGTGTCCATCATGGACGCATTCTCAACAAGATCAAGTGAACAAAAATAAACAAATCATAGAAAACCAAATATAGGTGACATGGGGTGGGATTAAACAGTTACTTGATTAAGGGTGCATTCGGGCGAGTTTTATGTGGAGTCTTAACGCGGGATAAATCCGGAAACATCCTTTTCCAGTTCTAGCCCGAACGGGTGTTAAACAATGCGGACCGCCTGCTGATATCCGCTAATAATCCAACGCTACAAATTGCAGTGTTTTTAGAGGAGCAAAAGCAGCATGCGCTAGCAGCAGGGGGAATTTTTTGTTACCTTAATCCCTTTTGATTGTTTTAACACACACCAGGAGTAAAGTCTGTTTAAATATTCATGGTCCCTGCTTCTTTTACAGTTTATTTCCAAAGACAAAACTAAAAATCTCGATAAAATAAATTATTTCAACTGAGGGCTAGCCTAGAACCCATATTGTTCCCTTGTTACATACGTCCACAACATGCATACATGATCATGGCACCACTGCTTATTTGTTTAATACCCCATTCAGACTAGCATCGCATTGCGATCAGTTGTAGCAATTGTGACAACCAATCGCACCCAATCGCAAAGTAACATCGTGTCTGAAAGCTCACCAATAGTAGTTGATATGTAATCGATATCACAATTGTTACCCGTTACGATTGGGTGCTACAATCTTTATTACTCCCGATTACCACGGAATCCGATCGCAACGAATCACAACGAATTCCACAGGCACTGTTTGGCTGAGGTCAGTCAACATGGGCCTAGCCACCGGAGGCCTAGGCCCTAGAATGTAAAATTAGTTTGTGTTGGTCTGAATGCGTTCGTTGATTGCGATCGGGAGTAATCAGTTTTGGATTACCACCATCTGCGATTTATTGGGAGTTTGCTATGCTTTATTATTGTTGCTTCTTTAATTGCATAACTTGATTTTGGTGGACCAATGCCAAAGTCCGTTTCTTAATTAAAGTGTGGGGTGACGCAGCTAGGTGACGCAAGGGAAAGGGTCCAGGGCAACTTGATAGAAACTCAACATTTGCATAGGTTTGACGTCCAAGGTCATTGGTTTATTTTGAAAGCCGAGTTTTGCACGAACCAGTAGATCACCCGCGGATAAAATACCAGTTAAAATAACGGTTCTCGCCCGAACACACCCTAACACACTATGTAACAATAGCTCAGTAGGCTATCATGAAGTGGAAAAGTGAATATCTCGATGTTAGATTAATTAGTTAAATTAGATAAACAGTTTTGCTAGATACCAGGGAACATTTAAATTACATGGAACGATCTTGAACTACTATGGCGTGCTAATCCAATTGAGACCACATTGTTTCGTTATTGTTGTGTTCTAGTTCTTTGATCATAGACACGCGGTACCGACAGTTTAGCAACAAGTATGAAAATATCACCACCAACGTCAGCAACTTGGATAGATATTATATATCTAATAAATATAAAATGGTTTACTGTGTTGAATGCCTTTTTTAAATCTAGCATACTAAGCCACTATGATACCTCTGTACCAATACCAATACTTCATACCAATCTTCAGTCACATTAATTAATGCAGTAGATGCTGAATAGGATGGGCAGAAACCAAATTGATTAGTATTAATTAGGTTATTAGTATTAAGATATGAAGAATATTGATTAAAAACAACTCTTTCAATAACTTTAGATATTATAGGAAGAACTGAGATGGGCCTATAACTACCAGGCTCTGCATGATCACCATTCTTGTATATAGGACTGATTTTAGCTTTTATCTTTGATGGAAATATACAAGTGGTAAAAGAATGATTAATTATATGAGTAATAATTGGTGAAATTATAGGTGCAGCAATTTTTAATAATTTGGATGGAATGTCATCACAGCCTGTAACTTTATTGTTAGATATATTTGACAAAAATTTAAAAACAAACTAAGTTAATACATGTTCAAAATTAAATGACTGATCAGTGAAATTAGGAATATTGTTATAAAAATGGTCATTAGTAGGATTAACTATTTTAGCTGCAAGTTTAGGTCCTACTTCAGTGAATTAAGTGTTAAAGTTCATTGGCTATGTCTTCTGGCTTGGTAAACTGGCCTTTTTCTGTTTTTATGAGAGATATACTGGTATTTTTAGTTTTAGATGGTATTAGCATGTCGAAGCTGTTTCCAAGTTGATTTAATATCGTTTTTATTTTCTGCAATTACCATTTTTCAATGTTTTTTTTTTCTATTGTGATACGAGTATTACGTTTATTTTTGGTTTTATGATAACTTGCCCATTTACTTGGATCACTTGAGGTTAGAACAGTGTAGTAATGTGATGGCTAAAGGCTTTAAATTTATTCAATTAGGAAGAAATATATTATCTTATTTTTGGAGATTTCAAGGCAGCGGTGGGCGTAATGAAAATAAAGACAAAGTTTTATTTTTTTTCTGAAATTTCCATTTTTTTTCAACTGGTGCGCTAATTGGCCAAAAATAAAATTTTTATTTTTATTCGGTTTTTGCTAAACAAGGCATAAAAAAGTCTTGCCTAATTTGCATAGTTTGTTTTAATCCAATATGACACGGTAATCCACTGAAAACTTGAGCCAAGGATGCAAGAATCAAGATTCCATTATTGTCAATATTATAGCATACTGCAACTCAAGCAGTTACCAGACAAAAAATTTAACTACACCTGTAGGGGCAAAAATTTTTTTCTAGCTATGTCGGCTATACTTGCCGACACCTTTATCAACGCACAGATGAACACACATCAATGCATTGATGAACGCAGAAAAATTACATGGAAACATCTCGAACTGAACATCAAAGGTTATAACCCGCAGTACTGCCGCTCAATATCCTAATCAACTGATAAACAATTTACAACTAATTATGACGACCCAATTGCTTTGCACGTGCTCGCTATTGTGTAAACTACTGTACATGATCTTTTACTTCCTGCATCATGTTCGCTTGGTTATCGACGTCGTATCATACCATGATCATACAGTACCAGGGAACAGTTACAGTTACACCACCTAATTGTTAAATACAGAAACGGTAAATGTGGACTAGGCCTACACCGACAATTTTTTTAATATTTTAATATTAAACATATTTTAGATATATATTATTAGATAAACTAAAACTATGGTGTAATATAGTCTTGATTGGTTCAAAAGCTGTTGAAGTAATCGTGTTCAAGTGGCATGTATTGATGGGTCTCTATCAAGCACTAAGAAAGTTCAATGTCTAATACCACAAGGTTCTATTATTGGCCCTCTTGCATTTCTTATGTATATCAATGACCTCCCAAATATTGTACACAGTGTAAAGTTAACATGTATGCTGATGACACAGCCATATACAGTATTATGCATTAAACTCAATCAATGATACCATCGAATGTATTAATAGTGATTTAGAATCTGTAATATACAAGTGGCTCTCATGCAACAAACTTTGCTTAAAATATTGAAAAATCTGAGTTTATGCTAATTGGCTCAAGATAATAGCTAGCAAGTACAAAAGATGATGATAGGCCTATAACTGTTCAAATTGATGGAATAAAATTTTCAATTGTAAAATCATGTAGCATCGTTTACTTTTGTGAAGTGGATTTTCTTCTTTTCCATTAGTTTATTTTGCCTTTGTTACTGTAGGTATAGATTACTTTTATTTTACTAAATTGTTGACTTTTGCATACAGTGCTGTTTAATTTTTAATTATTATATTTTGTGTCTATATTATTTAATTTCTACATTTAACTTGCTTTTTATGATGTACCATTATGTGTAATTTTGTTAATTGTAAATAAGGTGTCTCACGGCGATAATGAAAAACAGCATTGTATAATTGTTGATTCGTGCTTCATGAATAAATAAAGTTTTACTACTACAGTACTACCAATAACATTTTTATTTTCCCTCCATCTGGGTGTTTTTGGCAAAACTATTTGCTAAATTAAAGATAAACAAATTTTAATTAAAATTTTTTTTCTTCCCTCCTCAAACGATCTTAAAAAAAAAAATAAAGTTATTGAAGCAAGGTATAAAAAAAGTTTCACCTTAAATACTGTACATTGGTTTCTTATTTATTTATTTATTTATTTCAACATCATCCAACAGCGACCAGTTTCGCCCATGACAGGATTGATACATGAAAATTGATATATACAAAATTTATATAAGTAATATAACATTAAATTCAAATATAGGTCTAAAAATAATTAAAAATATAAGAAATTCACTTAGTAATAGAAATAAAAATGGTAGTAATTTTTTTTTTTTTTTTTTCTTGTAGCTGCTGCTGTGAAATTTGATTCCTCCAGGTGTGCACATGGTCCTGAGTACTGGTGCCAACACCGAAACACAGCAGAAGAATGCGGTGCTGTACGATATTGTCAGGATAATGTTTGGCCTAAACCTGGTGTAACTGCTGTGAGTCTGTACATTTTTGCATCCATCCAGGCCTTCATTACAAGCTCCTTTTAGGGTTTTATGAAGGCCCTTTTTAATTTCTTATCCACTTTAAAACATTTTAAAACAAGTTTTATTTGTAAATAATTGAATGAATAGGTTAAGAATTAAATTGAATACAAAAAAAATTTTAAAAAAATTAAGTGAATTCATGTTGTTCATTTCTGCCCTGTTCTGATGGATCATGGATCTCCTATATGTGCCCCGGGGGGTGCTGTTTGTTTGATGTCAGCGGGTTGTCATCAGACAGTGGTGTCTGCCTGATCGTGGTAGGCATTGTTGTTCCTGGTGATCGCTGATTCTCATTCATGCATGGTTTCAGGTATGAGAGCTCCTTGATCTATGATCTCTCTTTTTTTAAATTTTATCTATACAATGTTATGCTTGTTAAGTGTTTATTCAATTTTTGTCAATTAATGTTGGGATGCCCTCGAAAGTGATAAAGCTCACTATTGGTTTCCCCCGGTTATTAATTTGGCTTCTTTTTTGTAATACTGTATTTCTTGTTAGTTAATGTTTACCAGAATAAATATTAATGAAAAATGAAATGAAATGCCCTAATATTTGTTTTTAATTTCTCTCTATTAAAAAATCAGGTTTTCTTGGTGTTTGTGAGCTCATTTGCCAATCGTCAGTATACTGTTTTAATCAAATTATTGAAAAGACAGTGGTTAACACAAATCTTTTAATCCAATTCTAAATTATTAATTTTTAAAATGTTCACTTTGGCAAAAACAGTACAAAATATTAAACATTAAAAATTATGTGCAATAATTCTGATGGAATTGTATTCAAATAATCCAATCCACCATAATGTACAATTGGAATAAAAAAATGTTAAGACTGGTGTAAGAATAACCACTGCCTATTAAAATAAGGGGATGTGTTTCCTGCCATTCATGGATTTGGCAATTTGGAATGATGTCTGCTACATAGTATCACACACCCACTCTAGCTCGTGGATATAATTAATGGCATCTACTTGCGGTACACCACATGGATAGTTCTGAAAAGAACTGTTGTTGGTTGAGAATGTCTCAATGTTGCGATTGAGTTACTTCAATCCTCTGTAGGAGAGTAATATCTGAAGACGATTGAAGCAACTCAATCGAAACCTCGAGAAATTCTCAACCAACAACAGTTTGTTTATTAGAACTGTCCATGTGGTGTACCGCAAGCATTAATATATATTATTACTTCGCCATGCAAACAATAATGGCATCTAACAATACAACTATTTGTAACTCAAGCCTACTATAGTGTAATTATCTATTTTTAGTGTTTTTACCTCTGAAACCTTAAAGCTTGCTTTGATTATTACAGGATATGTGTACTGACTGCAAGAACTTTTTCGGTGATGTTCAGAATCTCTTACAAAATACAACCGTACAGGTAGCCAAACTTTTCTTTTTTGCATTCAGGTTTAATAATAATAATTATATAATAAAATTAGTATAAAATAATAATTTCGTAATTAGTTTATGAATAATCTGGATTAAATTTTTTTTTTTGGCCTCAAATGTGTCCCCTTAATATAGGGAGTTCTGCTTTATTTTTAATTAATGAATTGCATTGCAGCAAATGATAGTCAGTGATATTAAAATGATTTGTGCTGACCTGGGGCCATATGCAGACCAGTGCAACACTCTTGTAGACCAATACGGAACTCTAGTGTTGGGTCTTCTTGCCTCTCAGTTGGTAAGTAAGCTCTAAATTACTTTTGTTGTCTACACCAGGACTAAAAAAACAATATTATATATTGCAAAACTATGACAAAAAAAACAAATAGACTGAATGAATAGAATTAAAGTTAATGTATATTATTTCAGTTGTATTTATACATAAAATGTGGAAGTGGTTTGTTGCAGTGGGATCGGTTTGGTTTCCCAACCTCGAGGTTCGGGTTTCAAACCCTCTTCGCAGTGCGATTCACTTATGTCCTTGGGCAAAGCACATAATCTGCATTGCTTCTCTCCGCCCACGAGTATAAGTGGGTACCTGGTAGGATTAAATGCTAGAATGCGCTGATGTACAGTAGCTTCTGAAACGTTATGGAATACTCTTCCAGGAAGCTTGGGTTTGTGTTCCATAGGCAATTTTTTAATCCGATGACCGGGGTATAAATGATAAATGTGAAGTGCATAGAGGGCTTAACAATATACAATATACGCTATATTAGTCTATACCATTATTATCGTTATTATTTAAAACACAAAAAAGATTTAGCAGTTAGAACAATAATTTCATTCAGTTTGTACATACTATAGGATTTTGTCTCACATTTCTTTGTTTTAGGACCCAACTAGCGTTTGCGGCACGGTCGGATTCTGTAGTTCCAAGTACTTCAAATCTGTAAGTTACTGATATTTTTTCCGGTATAAGTATATATAGCATTATATTATATAAAAAAAATTTAAACTTTCTTATAATAACTAATTCAGAATAAAGTGCATAAGCCAATTATGATAAAAAAAACATGTCTTTTTCTGTCATAAAATCCTGGATTGTTTTTACTGGTGCTAGTAAAAAAAATGTAATTGTTTGTAAGTCGTAATTGAAATGGATATCATACACATTTTTCTTAGGAAAGCAAATTAATTATGAAATTAAACCGATAGCACATAATTTTTCTTTTCATAATTATCATGGATTATTCTGATGGTCGGCCTACTGTAATGGCTCTCTCTTTTGAATTATCATTGGTCTCTATATGCTTTTATCTGATGGAAAAATAAAAGCAAAACTTCAATCGTTTTAAATGATCACGCACATTCTTAAAATTGGTGTTGTTATTTTACTGTAAATATCACTTTAGATCGATCGATTGATGTTGCATTTGGTATAAAATCTCTGTCTATAACTATCAAATTTTATTTGTCAAGAAACTGTTATATGCCCATATATAGTCATAATGTGGCTATATATGGTCATGATGTGATGCCATAATGACCATATGTAGGAATATCGCATGTTTATGTCAAATAAAATTTGATAATCTGGACTAGGCTTATATAGAACAAATAGGCCTATGTAATAATCATACGACATTTACAGTATATATAGAGTAGTGCTAATTCATTATAGATCTGAGGGTCTTAAATGGTACCAACCCAGCAGCCTATGTTTTGAATCTGAATCTAGTTATCGAACAATATATAAATAGGCTGAGGCGTGTAATGATAAACAGATAGTGACACAATATCCATGTGTGTTCATCCCTGCTCTGTGTCTGCATGATGATAATAGCATTGAAAGTTAACTTTAAAATCAAAGGTTATGTTTAAAAATCACAGATTAGGTGTTGCAGTATCATATGAAGATACGGTCCCTAGATGACCCACACTGTAAGGAAGTGCAAAATATTTCTCAATATTTATTATTGCTATTACAGTTTTACAGTATTTCATTTTTGTTTTTGTTCTTATTTTATTCATAATGTAGTATTTTTAATAATTGATATTTCTTTCTGTTTTATGTTGTTTGTGTACAGGCTTTTGGCTTTTGTTTTATGTTGTATGAAAATATATAACATACTCTTCACTCTGTGAAGAATTCCATATTAAACAGTGCAGTGCTAAATCAGTGCATTGGTACATTCAGAATGTCTAGAATCCCACTCACTCTCCCCTCCCACCCCCCTCATTTGTAAAAAGAGAGAGTATATAGAGATGGTGCCTTTACCAAGACACCAAGACAAATGTTCAACTTCAGATTCGAACTCCTGATCTTCCAATTATAAACCTGAAGCTTTGCCACTGCGTCAGATGCTTTCTTATGCTTTGTATAATTTAGCAACCAGATTGTAGAGGTGAAAGTTTTTATTCGGCGGAAAAATCAACTGTTGCTTAGTTGAAATTGCCGGTCTTGACATAATGTTCCCAGAATGTCGTTCCCTGTTGGCAAATGTGCAAAGCACGTCTAGGTTGGCTTTGGAATGCTGAACATCATATTCGGTTGTAGAGTTCGCTGTACTATGTACCATTTATTCCATGTTAACAATAACATATTCAATTCACATATGGTAATATCATCTTAATGAATGTTGTGTTTACAGAGAAATATAATTAGAAATAATATCATGAAAAGGGTAATGTAGTAAGCATAGCTTTAAAGCACATGACCCATTTGAATTATGCACATACGTATTTTCTAGATAATCATTCATATAAAGAAATAACAATTAAATAAGTAGTAAAAATGAAAAAAAAAACAAAATAATAATATTAATATTAAACATGCGATATTACTAAATATGGTCATTATGACATCACATTGTGACCATATATAGCCACATTATGACTATATATGGGCATATAACAGTTTCTTGACAGAGATGCTACTGAAAACTGCAATATGTAGGGTGGTGGCGACAATAAAGTTTTACTAAAAATGTATGCAAACAAAGCTTATAATTACTATTTGTGGGTCGATTTTTTGGGATATTTAAATTTGTTTGTGACATCACTATTTATAACAATGAGATCCTTCTAGTGGATCATGTGATATTGTTTGCACATGATTTTGATTCACTAGATATTTCCCCAGTTGCTTGGTTGTTTCCTACTCTTAACAAGGATCCAGAATTGCTTTAGCTTCCCCCCATGACTGTCACGTCTTTTCCGATACAAATGTTTTGTGACATACTGTACACTATATTAACAATGGAGTCCTTCTATTGAATCATGTGATATTATTGTTTGCACATAAGATTTTGAACCCCACCTCAAATCTTTTCTTTTTTCCATAGCTTTTCCACCCCAGTTTCTGTTTGACTTCTTCATTCAGTCCATCAATTTGCATTGTATTGTTTATTGTTTTATTGTAATTATTATTATCATTTTGCTTATTACTATTATTTTTATTTATTATTATTATTATTATTTTTATTTATTATTATTATTATTATTATTACTTTACTTTGTTGTATTTTTGCTCTTTATTTTGTAATTTATTGTAAAGCGCAAGTGACTACTTCCGTTTAACCGACGCTATAGAAATTTATAAATCTATCTATCCATCTACATGATTTTGATTCACTAGGCTTTTCCCCAGCCGCTTGGTGTTATAAACACTGGTTGCTTGTTAATACTACTTGTATCAAGCAACCACATTGCTATCTTTCCCATTTCGTCTATCACCATTCACTGTCCCTTCTCTTCCGATCATTTTTGCTCCCATATCCAACTAAAAACTACGCTGCTCCCTTTTGCACTGCCACAAATTTACATCTTACCCTTGCTCTGTTGCCTTGGGATAACAAAATAAATAAATATTTATATATTATAATATATATATAAATATATATATATATTTAAATATTTTGTTGCATTCACAGAGCAGTAACATGTGTAGCGATTGTGATGCATTCTTCGGTGATGTACAGGGCCTCCTTAAAAATACCACTGTTCAGGTAATTATAAATTTCGTAATATTTGTTATGACTAATAACCAGGCACTTTAAATATTAGGAATTGTATGTAAATATATGATTATTAATTCATTTATATACAATTTTGAAAAACCGTTGTTCCTGGTTTAGCAATCACAATAACTTCCTAATATATGTAATGGCTTAACCAGGTACTACAAATATTTGGAATTGTATGTAAATTAGTTAATTTAATTATAAATTTACATACAGTTCCGTATACTTGGTGGGTGAAGTCATCATATTTTGTAATACTCAGTAAGTTGAACCGAAGTAGTACTACTGTTGAGAGTAGTTGAAATAGTTTAATGATGCAAGCTTTTTGTGTTCACAACAGCATTAACAACAATAATAACTAGACTTTACTTTGTTGAAATTACAAATGAAACATTAAAAGAAAATCTTTAAAAAATATTAAGTAAAAAAATATTTGATAAACAAAAATATGATCATGCTGAAGAAAATTATGAAGTAAACAAAAAAAAAACAAAAAAAAAACATGGGAACCAACTGGACGTCAGTAAGACTAAACTATGGGTACAGTATTAAATACTATAGGGAGTTTTTTGCTTACGAAAATGATAACGAATACGGTTACGTCATCAAATTTTTAGACCCTTCCCCAACCATTATAGTCTATCTGTCTTTTGAATGAATCGAGGTCATTATCAGCGTGTACAGTACAGCACGTTGTCAAGAACGTTTTAGGCACAAATGTCGATAATGATAGTGACGTATTCGTAATTGTTTTCGTAAGGTTGCGAAATCTTACAATTACGTTAAATAACCCGAAATTGCGGAGGTCAGTGCTTTTTTATTGTGTACCTTGCGTGGTGTTATGAGTCGAGGGCGAAAATTGCATTTCAAGGTAGGTGTGTAGCTACATCAATTACAATTATCTTTTTATAGTCTCTAATAAAATGCAGTCATTGTGTGTTTATAGACGGAACAAATTCAACTACCAATTCTTCTAAGAAGAACTACCAATTAAAAATAGTTTTTGAGCTAACATTTTGTTTGAATGGCTCTGTGTACTCAGTGAGTATAACTTAGAATTCCATGAGTAGAATAGATAAATCCAGACTGTTCTATATTTTATTGGTGTTATGATTGATGTCACACTTTTCAAGTGGACAAGAACAAAATTTGATCACTTATAACCAACGATTCCAAACATGTACAGAAGTTAACTAAAATTTAATCCATGTATATTTCTAGCCATTATCAGGAAGTAATTAACAATTATTTTTTTAGCCTAAGTTCCAAAGTAGGAAGTAAAGATCAACTTTTTTTCTAGACAATTAATTGAAAAAATAAAAAAAAAAGAAATCCAGGAACTTTCTTAAATATTGTTTTTATAGATGAAGCTCTATATATAGCCTAGTGTTTTAAATCGCTGCACATTCAAACAACCTATTATAACAGGAAGTTTAAATCCCCAGATATTTTTTTGCTTTTTTTCACTGGGCTTGCAACTGTTTTTTCTATGGAGATTACCAATACATTATTGAACTTTTACCTTGTCTTTTTTTATGGTCTCTAATGCTCTGTTGCATATGTACTGTACATTATGTCTTGCATTAGTTATTTACAAAATATGATGCTTTTGTTATGTTGTGTAATGTGTAAAACAGGAAGTCTCAATGCTTTATGCTATAAATATACTGTAGACCAGACAGAATCGATATTGTGACAACAAATAAAAATAGGCTCCCAACAGGAGTTTTTGTTTTTTTAATTTTTTCTTATGTACTTCAATGTGCAGATGTGTGTATTATTGTAGTGTATCTGGATTTTTCATGAAAATTTTCTTTCATAAAAATATTCTGTATAGGCCTACTACTATATTACACTAAAAACTCTTTAAAAATGAGTAACTCTTGGAGTTACCACTTTATGTCGCTGATCACGAAGAGTACTACCATGTTCTAGAGGGCGTCCTTCAAATGACGGTAAAAGGCATTCGTGGCGAACGCGTGCTACGTCTTTATAACGCGTGTTCGAGTTTTGAACTCAATTTTGTACGAGTTCCGAACGCTATTTGATTATAGAGCGCCCCCTACCTCGTGGTAGTATTACCCATCGTGCCTCAACCGGATTAACCCTTTTCCGCCATCTTTAATTGCTACATCATGACATTGTGTCTGCACCCCCGTTGGGGGCAGTAGACACAAAAATGAATCTAATACAACATGCCGAATTAGGCCCCTACATCATATTCTATTTCACAACTGGGCTTGTTAGGCAATAATTAATAATGATAATTTCAAATGGAAATACAATTTATATAGGCTAATTAGCACACTGCCGCCACGTGTAGAAATGGAAATTTCAGAAAAAAATTTTAAATTATTTTCATTCATGCTAGATGTGTATAAGAGACAGCCCCATTACCTTGAAATCTCAAAAAATAAGATAATTTATTTCTTCCTAATTATATAAATTTAAAGCATTTTACCATCCTATTACTACACTGTTTATGTTCAGTAACAACATTTTAAATTTTATTTTCTCCATCAGTTTTATTTTTAAAATACTTTCCTTGCAAAGTCTTAATTGTCATTGGCTAGTTTGGCAGGCAAGTGAATGCTAATAATTATCCACTATTCTCTATTTACCATTTGCTTGTCATAAGTAATTCCAAGTAACAGATCCATAGATAATCTCATTTAATAATATTATCTTCATAGTCCCTTAAATTGGCTGGTAGTAAAGTTAAGCCAGCTGACTCGAAGAAAAATTAAATTTATCCTGTATAACTGATTTTTCCAAAGATACAAAAAGGTATTTAACAAAAAACAATCTGGGGAATGGTTATGATATCAGGTAGGGCAAAACATCACTCTTATGATATTTTCCTGAATCAAATTCACATCGAAATAGTATTTGTAGTCTAGTGCTTAAAGCGCCAGGGTGGTTATCTGGAGGTTGTGGGTTTGATTCCCACCCAAATCACTTGCAAATATTTGGGAATTTACTGAGCATTCGATACTAATAACACGTAGGTTTAAACATCCTTTTTAAATTATTTTCAGTCAGTGAAAACCAAATACATTTTTGATGTGTCGGTACTTGTTTGATCTTTCTAATTATTAAGCAATGCGAAATCTTACATTGGTCATAATATCTTTAACCAGGAACTAAGTACAAAAAATTAATCAACAGAAAGTGAATTAATGAAGCATAGAAGAATCACATTATTTCCTGGTTTATTATTTTTTTTTTCTGATGTTTTTTAAAGATCCCATAAAGAAATACTAAGAAATATCATAAAAAAAATCATTAAAAAAAATTAACTTAACTATTAAATTAACTAATTAACAAAAATTTTCACCCATAATTTTACAGCGAAAAACATAATAGAAACACTTCAGTCACTAGAAGTTTTTTTTATTATTTTTATTATCATCAAGTATAAAAATCAGAGTGCACACTTTTTAAAATTCAATAATTTTATGCTCAGGTTAGTAATTTGTATGTTACTGCAGAATGAGCACTGAGATAATGGGGGCAGTCCTACAACAACAAAGCCAAAGATACATTCCTGTCTCTTATACACATCTAGATGTGTATAAGAGACAGCCCACATACATTTTTTCTTTTCTGGACTATCCTTGGTGGTTACAACAAATAAATCCAATCTAATCCATTACAATCTTAATAATAAGCTACAGCTTCACTGCATCATTTCTAGAGTTTATTTTACATAAACAAAATAGCTTCACAACCTATCCTCCAAGTATCGAAATGCATGCCATCGTGTTGGAATTTCAATATTTCAACATTAATTATGTCATCATCAGATAATTATGTCATATTCGGTTTGAGCTTTATTTGCTGATGCTGTATTTCCAGAGCTAACAAAACCTAAATGGAAACAGGCCAATGTTTAATATCTGTTTCCCTATTAGTTTTTGTGTTTAATGTAACACTATGTGAATAAAGATAATCAATATTTGTGGAATGTTTGTAAAAAAATATCAACAAAAACATGAAATATTACGTTATTTATTTCAAAAGAACATCACAGGTAGATGCATTTTAATAAATTTAAAACGTTATAGTTAATACACATTACATATAAATTAAAATTATATTAATTTTTCAAATCATGCCCCTGTACACCATTTCTGAAGATGCAACAATCAAAAACACTTCAAGTTTTATTCGTCCCTATTTTTTTTGTTTTTTTGGGCATTTTGTTTCAAAGACTAGGCTACAACAAGAAGAATAGTTCTGCACTGGCCACAGATAAACTAAGAGAAATGCCACTGGAAGTTCTCCCAGTGGTAGTTGCCAGTTCTCAGAAATGTTCACTTCAAATTTGGCGAAAATGGTGTATCTTGTTGAACACAGAGTATTTTTAATTTTACGTTTGCCTTCTTTCTTTCTTTTTTTTTTTAAATACCATTTTAGGAAGAGATAGAGAACATGCTTGTGTCAGTCTGCCAACAACTAGGCATTGAACTTTCTGAATGCAGTTTAATAACGGTAGTGGGACCTGAGGTCTTCGATTTCCTGGCATCTGAACTGGATCCCAAGACTGTCTGCACCGCCATCAAGTTCTGCCAGAGTTCCCTTTTGCAGCGTTACAACAGCGTGAAAATGAATGTAGGTCTTGGTGTAAATTGATTTTGTATCAGTCCCATAATATTGAAAATTGTAATGTTGGAGGAATTGGCATTCATCTTTCATGGCTTGTTTAAAATGCAAACATCCTGATGTTTCCATCTTTTGATTGGCTGTGATGCACCAACTGGCTGCTAGATTGCATTGAATCTATGACTACCACATAAACTTGCCAATTTCAATTTATCAGTTTTGATTTCATTTTTTATTCTATAATTTTGTTCATGCATAATACATAATTATCGATACCACTTTTTTTTCAGAACTGATATAGTTTTGTTTTCGCTATAATAATTCATTCGTGATAAAGGGTTTATTCGACTGGGTCATTTTGTTGAGTTACGAATTTTCGTTGAGTATAAATTTTCATTCGACTGGTTCGTAAAATAGACTTCGTTGACAACGAAAATTAACATAACCAGAATGCGTTAATCAGCGTTAAGTTTTTCAAAAAAAGATATGGCTGATTGGTCAGTTTAGCAACAACATTTGCATTAATATAGTTTACATTAAATTTCAGAAAATAGAAATTACAATATTTACCCACATTGAAGCCAAAAAATAATTGTAGGCTAACAGAATTCAAAAACTGGATGAAAACATTTTTTTTACAAAGAACCCATACTGCTACAATCCGAAGCAGCCTTGATTACGCAGCGTGTATAGCGGTAACTACTCAGCCATTTTGTTTTATTAAGTAGGATTTTACCGCTGCTGCAGGTGGGCATGGTTTAGCGAAAATGACCAGTCGAATACAGCCAAAGATACATTCTTATTATCTTTCATAATGGTGTAACAGTCATTTAGAATGGGAGGCATGCCGTCCCAAAACCAGTGTACTATCGCTATACTGTAAGCCCATCTTGATTTAAAACCCACCTCTTGAGTTTGCAAAATTAGCCTTGGAAAGAAGCCCCATCTCAAGATAGCAAAGGCTTCTTTTTCGAGATACTACAGTATATACAGTGTACATAAATTTCAAAGAAACAAAATAAATTAAGAACACGCTTGATTTGTACAGAAAAGAAATAGAAGCCACCCAGAGCTTCGATTCAAGGTTTTACTGTATGTTAAACTATAAGAAATGAAAGAAAAGCCATAATACATTACTCATAACTTTGGCAATAGTATGTTGATTGCAGTAAATGACTCATTTGAAAGCTTACACGCTTACAATGTAGGGTTATATTAAAAAGTTAATTTTCACTGGTGCTTGTTTTGGAATGGCTAATCCTCATTCTGTACAGTATTTGATATGAAACATGTGATTTAATATAAATACTATGCTGTAGTCAGAAACCGATTCTCAAAGATATTTTGTTTACTTTGTGTTTGCAACCTCATATTTTTTTAAATGATGCATTATGGGATTTTTTTCAGGCAAATGATCAGTGTGCAGATTGCAAAGCCTTCTTTGGGGATGTTGAAGCAATCCTGAAAAACCAGACATTACAAGTAAGTAAAAGTGTAACAAATTCAAAATGAGAATACTCATATCCAATAACACTTGCAGTACCCGCTGCTACTAGGTGATCGAATTCATCACTAGTCACCAAGCGAAAGCTCGGTGGTCTAGTGGTTAAGACATCAGGCTAGATACCTGGAGGTCGTGGGTTCGATTCCCACCCGAATTACTTCCGATTTTTTTCGCTAGTATTTGGGGACGTACTGAGTATTCAGTACGATTACACGTCAGGTAGGGCAAAAACATCACTCTTATGAGAATCAAAACCTTGTGATGATTGGATCATGATCAGGAAATATTCACATGTTAAATTTAAAAAAAAGAACACTTCTTCTGTGGCTACAATAGGGACTATTCATAAGGTAATGAACAGGAGCAGGCTGATTTTCCCCTTGGCACTGTCCACCAGACATTTTACCACACATTTACCCCCGGATGGGTTCCCACCACAAATTTAAATACAAGTTATACATCAAGATTTATATTATCTCTTTTACTAAATTAATAATAATATAATTAATTAATAATCAACTGCACATATTTAAGTAACAAAAACTAACATAAAAAAACAATATGAATTACATACATTAAGCCATTAAGTTTACTTTATTTGAATTTATTAATTTTTAGGTACTATTTACTTCTCATCTATAATTTGCTGCTGTTGTTTTTTATGTTAATTACAATATAACACAGCAATATTGACAATTTAATAATGAAAATTATATAGTAACTGAAAATGAGCAAATACAAATAAAATAAGCTTACTGACTAATGTTACACCAGGAGATGCTATCCATTGCCCC